AACATTGGAGTGTTGGTTGAACGGCTGGGGTCGGTCGGACTACAGCTCGCCTATGACAAGACTGGGGTGGTAGCAACCTCGTTCTATGAGGGACGAACTCATCTTGTGATTGGAGGCAAACAAGTTCCGTTCCTTGATGCTGACAGCTCCTTGCGAGTGCTGGGGGTTGACTTCAACCTAACGGAGAGCCCGTCGCAACAAGCCAAAGGCCTCATGGGGAGAGTGTGGGCCGCCTGGTTTCAACATGCAGAGCTCTTCAAGGCTGATGCCCCCTTCCACTCTAAAGTCAAGATGATCCGCACTCTCATACAAGGGACGTGGCAGTGGGTCGCTGGAGCTGTGCATTGGAATGCTGACGACCTCGTGGCATTCAACACTCTGCAGGTTCGTATATACCGCCTGGCGTTTGGACTACGTCGCTACCGAAGTGAGAGTTGGGTCGATTTCAACACAAGAACGTGCCGCTGGTTAAGATGTTGGCTTCATGCACAACACATTGAGCGATGGTCCACCACGGTGCTTCGACTACAACACCAATTGGCTGGACACTGGGGACGTCAACGAGAGGGACAGGAACTTAGTTTGGCTGCGGCCATGCTTCGCTGGCGGGACATGGAATGGTGGAGACATGAACAAGAGTGGCCAGTGCCATTTGGTCGTCGTCATCCGGGGCGTTTTTACGCTGATAACCTTGAGAGGAGGCTTAGTTTCGTCTTTGGCAACAAATGGATGCTGTGCACTACGGACAGAAACAGATGGCGTGAAGGGCTACAGCTGTGGCTCCAACAGTTTGACGTGCCGTGGACTAGGGGGAGACAACTTGAGATTGATGATGAAGAATGAGTCACATGATGATGGGGCGAACTTGTGAAGCTTCTCATGCTGATGTGCGCCGCCGCCGTTGTCTTGCACAAGTTCTTCATGTGTCCTGATGTACGCATCGAACATGTTACATGTACTACTTTCACATACTGAACCTGATCGAGTCTTTGCACCTTAATTTCCTGACCTTCGTTCGGGCACTTCCAATTCGTCGACTATGGCCGCACGCGGCCGAGCTATGGTTTTGCTCACTTTGAGCGCTTGGATGGGCGCGCTGCTGGGGCGCGCTACTGTGTCCTCACCCAGCCCGAGCAGCAAACAGCCGTTGCCAACACCTTCCTCGTCGTCAGCATGGAGCTCCTCGTGGAACACACAGGATGGTCAATGGGAATCGCCGGGACCATCGCCATCGTCGACATGGAGCTCTTCGTGGACGACGGGGAGATGCTACAAAGTATGGAGATGCCAGCACCGATCCTTCGAGGACTTGGGATGATTGGTCGGGCACCGATCAGCCAGATGCGCATCAATGGCGATCGTGGGGAAGTGACACACCATGGAGTAATCGTGACGTCCATCCCTGGGAAACATGGTCGAGTACAACGAGAGACTGGGATGACTGGTCGGCTTCTACTTCGGGAACCTGGGACGAATGGACATCCTCTATGGCTACTTGGGATGACTGGTACACTACTTCGTCGTCGAGAAGCGCTTGGCCCACGCAATCACCCACTACCTCGGGAAGCTGGAATGATGGGAAGTCCTCTACGCCAAACTCGGAGAACTGGCAATCCACTTCGTCGTCGGGGAGCACATGGACTTCATCTGAGTATACCGCTTCACCACAGCCACCTCGCGAGAAGGGCGAACGAGTTGTCAGTGGTTTCTACAGGCATGGTGTATGGGTGCCGAGAGACAGGACGGCCGCTGAGTGGAGATTTCACGATGGAGGTGGAGGGATTGTACGACAGTCGAAAAGACAGGGGAGGATCAACTCTTGGCTGAGTGGGACGTTCGTGCCGGCTTGGAGGAGGAACATGATGTCGGGTACCACCACGGTGACTTCGCACATGACGGCTGCTGACTGGAGGGAGGCCCTCAACAGGCACATGCAAGAACCTCTACCACAACCTGAACAAGCAAGTGGCTCTATGTC